CCAGAACAACCACATGCACATTGGTTTGTCCCCCACAGGATGCAAAGCTTCCTCTCCGTGTTCTGCGCCCCCAGCCCAGTCCTCTTCCCTGAATGCCTGTCCAGGAGCCTGTGCTCTCACCATGCCCAGGCTCTGTGCACTCTGTGCCCAGCCTCTTCCTCCACTGAAGTTACCATTGGCCTCTCAGGGCACCTTTCAGGGTTATTCTCCAAAATAAACATGTCGTTGACTGTTGAGCCACTTTTCATGTTTCTTTCCTCTTTCTTTTTTATATTGAGAGCTACTCTCTACTAAAAATGTTTAAAATTAGCAGGCCCTGTGACATGTGCCTCAGGGGCTGAGGTAGAATGATTGCTTGAGCCGGGAGATTGAGGCTGCAGTGAGCTATGATGGTGCCACTGGCTATGATGGTACCACTGCACTCCAGCCTGGAAAACAAAGCAAGACCCTGTCTTTAAAAAATAAAATGGAGGGCAAGTGGGGAGAAAGAGAAAAAGAAAAAAGTAAAAATAATAACAATAAATTTTAAAAATTTTTAAAAAGTGGGAGAAGAGTAGTAAATTGGGAAAATGTGACAAGGACAATCAAAAGGGCTTGGACTAGGTAGTTAATTGAGTACAGAAGTAACTAGGAAGATAAGGGTTAGCTTAACAATGTTTGTTTGCACAGATTTCTCTGGGCTTCAACTTTCCATTCCTGAAGATGACAATGTTAGTTTCCTTCCAGTATAAAGAGGAGTTTTAATTTCTGCTTTCAAAAAGAAAAGGGGAGAGTTAAAGTATCATTTTTTCTTCCTCTTTTTTTAAATACCTTTAGCTCACAATAATCCTATGGGAAAGTGGCATATTTATGGGTGGCATGTTCTGAACTCCATCACTGTCATGTTTGATAATGGCTGCTACCACCAAGATGCAGCAGCTTGCTGCATCCCTCTGCCCTAAGAGTCTGATGACCAAAGCCTCCTCTATTCTGGAAACCTTAGCAATTCTCTGCTCAATTGTATCATCTCTGTAACATGCCATCTGCCTTCACACTGGTTTCACTTCCACAAGCCACAAACTCAGGTCACATTTCCCTGGAGATGCTCTTGCCATCCTGTGGTCAGCAGCTAGTGATTCTGGGAAGGAGGGCAGCGGGGAGCCGCTACCTTCTGTGAACCAGGAAGAAATCAACTTTCATCAAACCCAGACAAAATAGGGTGAGGAAGGCTCAAAGGAGAGGAGGCTCATGCTTACATGTCTGAGATAAGAACTGTTTCCAATAAGCCTCTAGAAACATTTCATATCTTTCCTGCTTTGATAAAGCTTATCACTAGACATTCTTTACAATTCCTGTACTTTAGATAAGATGTTCTCAGGAGAACACTTGCTCAGTAAGTGCATCTCCACCAGTGCACTGACAGCTCTCTAACTTTGAATCTCTAGAACCAATGAACTCTGTCTCTAAGCAGTTTATGTTGCCAATAAATGCTCTCCTTTACCCTTCCCTCTCTGAATGCACTGGTGGCTTGTCCTCTCCTGTATTCCAGATTATCATTCTGATTTCTACTCCCTAGTAAACCCAGCATATTTGGAGATAATTTTCTCTAGTGTCCTTTTCATAGGACACTTGTATAGGTGGTTTTCTCATTGCATGGAGACTTTACTTGCTCATTTCTTTTCAGATGTAGGTTCAACTTCACATTTTATGACACCCCCTGACATCCCATCATATCTGCTGCAGAGGTACGTTTTCTCCTGATGATTTCCAACCTCACTCCCGGTAGTTTCTGTCTTGTCATCATAAATGGGCCTTAGCGAAAAGATGAGTCAAATGTTGGCAGGTGCAGAAGTTTTGTTTCACGCATTTGTCTGACAAACATTCTTTGTCATTGACTATCTTCTTTTTCAAATTATTATTATTATTTGAGATGGAGTCTTGCTCCTGTCATGCAGACTGAAGTGCAGTGGTGCAATCTTGGCTCAGTGCAACCTCCACCTCCCAGGTTCAAGCGATTCTCCTGATTCAGCCTCCCAAGCTAACCACATCTGGCTACATTTTGTATTCTTAGTAGAGATGGGTTTTTACCATGTTGCCAAGGCTGATCTCAAACTTCTGACCTCAGGTGACCCACCTGCCTTGGCCTCCTAAAGTATTGGTATTACAGGTGTGAGCCACTATGCACGGCCTGTCATTGACTCTCTTCTGATGGCACAGCAAGTCCTTCCTTTTAGTCTCAAACAAGACTTATGTTCAGAAAACACACATTTCCATGCCCCACAGGATTTGTGTTTTCTAAATTGATAAATGGCTGGCTTTTTAATCAAATGAACATAGACTGTTGCCTTCCATGGGACACAGGTGCTACAGAACAATCATTATGTGTATCTGTTTAAGTTATGCTTTTATGTGTAGCTTTTTTGTCACAATTTTACAATAAGCCTATAAAACATTTCACTGCACCAAACTATATTAATCTGTTAAACAGAAACTGTTGTAATTGTAGCATCTCAGGGCCAGAGTGGCCCTAAAAGGATCCTGTGCTCTGATTTTAGACAAGGACTGAGATTGAGGAAGACAAATGATCTGCTACCAAGTGTAGAGCCCCATATACTGTCAGAGGGAAGCCACCACAGTCTCAGAAGCAGGACAAAGGACAGATGAAGAATGAGAGCAGGCAGATGTCAGGTCATCATCAGAGGTAGGGAAATAGTGGGACCAGCCTGCTTACCTCTCAGGGCTGTTGTGAAGGTTCAGGGAATTGACAGTTGGGAAAGAGTGAATATAAAGTACCCTGTAAACTAGGCCTTCCTCGCTATACTTAGAAGAAAGAATGCTCAGGAGTTCCTTGCAAATGGCTATTGATCTAATTTTTAACCTCTGGGGATGTGCCATGCTTGAAATTGGAGATAGCGTTTTGCCAACAGAAGCTCGATCCTGCTGACAGTTGATGCATTAGGTCCCAATGGAGGAGAACATGCTGTCCTCCATCACAAGCTAAAACCTGATGGGATGCTCGAAGAGGGCCTTTGGAAGCCCAGCTTTGAGACAAAGTTTTCCTAATGGGTATTGTTCCTGCTGATAATTTCTCACAGAGCCTATACAGCCAACTGAGAATGGTCACGGCACATTGTTGTACTGTGCCTGAGGCTCACACCTTCCATCTGCTGAAGTGCTGTTTCTGAGAGTTTGAGCCACAGCAACTGCGGGAGGAGGGGTTATCTTGGCCCACTGAAGGATGATGGACTCTGATGCATGTCACCCATCATGTGAGCTGCTTGGCACCACAGCTTTGACTACAGCCACTCTCTCCCATCTGTGGGTCAGCCCTACAAACCCCAAAGAACACCTCAAGGTCCATGGAGTCACACAGCCCTTGGGGTGATGCTGTGGCAGGGTTGCCATTCATTCCTAGAGTTTTTTGTGTGTTTTTTTCCGAGATAGATTCTTGCTCTGTTGTCCAGGATAGAGTACAGTGGTACAATCTCAGCTTACTGCAACCTCTGCCTCCTAGGCACAAGGGATTCTTGTGCCTCAGCCTCCTGCATAACTGGGACTACAGGCATGCAACACCACACCCGGAATTTTTGGATTTTTGTAGAGACGGGGTTTCACCATGTCACCCAGGTTGGTCTCCAACTCCTGACCTCAAGTGATCTGCCTGCTTTGGCCTTCCAAATTGCTGGGATTACAGGCATGAGCCACCTCTCCCTGCCACCATTTCCAGTATTAAAAGAACCTTAGACAAATTAAATTTAACAGAGTTTGAATGAGCAAAGAACAATTTGTGCAAATCAGGCAGCCCTGAGATTCAGAGAGACTCCTGAACTGTCTCATAGTTGAAGCTTTATGGCCAGAAAAAGGAAATTGACATACAGAAAGTGGAAGTGAGGTACAGAAATAGATGGATTGGTGATGGTGTGGTGTTTGGCTTGTTTGAGTCCAGTTTGAACAGCTGGCCACCTGTGCGTGATTGAAGTCTGGCTGCTGTGATTGACCAAGACTCAGCTACTTGGTCTGAGAGTAGGTGACAGTCTGTTTACATGTCAGTTAGCTTATAGTTCACTATGTACAGAGAAACCTTTAGGGTGAATTTAAACTATGTAAGGAGACGGCTTTAGGCTAAAGGTGATTTCATACCAAGATTGGCAGGGGCTCCGCTCCCCCACCAGTCTTCAGGCTGATGTCTTGTGTCCCATCCACTTCCTCTCCCATCCTGCTCTAGAGCCTTTCCAGACCATGCTGTTTTCCCTTAAATCTCTCACCCAACTGCCTACTTTATACCCAGAACATAATCTTACTTCATGTCTCACAGAGACCAGAGGTGAAAACTGCACCCCGAGCCACACACTGCACATTGCCCTCCAGTGGCTCCTGTTCTTTCCTCTTCCCCTCTGGGTCCCTTTCTCACCCCAATCATGCAAAACAAATCCCATTTCCCCCATCGGCCCCCATTCCTTCCCAGGGTCTCCCTCCGTAAAAGCCAGCCTCCCAGTGACAAGCAGGCACAAAAGTACAGAAGGAAAAGTGTTCAGTGTTCGAGGACTGCCCAGTTCCCAGCCTGGCAAAAGCCAGCCTCTGTGAGGTCCACTTACACCCCAGCAGTTTTACTTTGTAGAGCTCCATCTTAGTAATACCCTGTGGCAGGGCTCATTTCTGTATTTGTCAGGATTCTTTTCTGTTGGAAACCAAACAAAAATGAGCATGGGCAAAAAGAGACATTTTCAGCTCAGGTGTTAAGTCCAGAAGTGGACCAGCTTCTAGAATGAGGGGCTCAGTCTAGGACAGGCATAATGAGAGTTTTTACTGTACAGAAACCATAAAGATAAACTCCACCCCCATCCATGGATCCATTTCTGCATAATCTCTTGCTTCTAAAATACAATAAGAGAAATTCTCCATGCCAGAAGATACAGCAGAGGGTCTTTTTACAGCAACAGAAATGCTGTAGGGTGAACCCCCTACATCAGGTAACGGTGGCAGTGAGACAGAGATCCTGGAGATCCAGGCAAAGAACTGACTTGGAAAAGGAAGCCATCAATAGAACAGAGAGAACAAACGCCGTACATGCTGCGAGCCACAGCTACTGGGTAAGGTGTCACAGGAGTGCACTGGAATGCACCGAGGCTGACAAGCCGGGGACCAGGAAGACTGCTGGTAAATAATCTTTCTTGTTTTCTATAAGGAACTTGGAAAGCTTATCCAGAGAGGTGTGAAAACAGCAGAGAAAACACTGGAACAAAGAAATGAAGTGAAAGCAAACATGTTCAGCATTCGTCAATGAGAAACCCAAGAAACCAAAACCAAGTTTTGTCCCAGAGTAAAGGGAGACTCGGGCATCCCCTTGGAGGTCTGGAAGCTTCTTGTCTGTCAGGTGGATTCAAGGGTATTTGATCAAGGATCATGTGTTTATGAAGCAGGAGCGGCCACAAACAAACCTCTCAAACACCGAACAGGGAAGGAAGTGGTGATTTATCCTGCTGGGAGCTGCAGCAGGTGAAAATACCGTAACAGCCGAGCTCGTCAACAAAGAAAATCCTTGCCCTTTTAAAGTCTTACAGTCTAGAAATTAATGTGAAGGGGTCTTGATCCATGAAGTATGTGTGGGGTTTGTAACTAGGTTGGGGTTTCATGGTGTTTAAGCAAAAGCAATGCCTTCTGGAAAGATTCCTCCATACCATGCCTGTGATCTACAGGAGTGGGATTAAGGGTGGTGCCCGGTCTGCCAGCCTTTACTTCTCCTACTGAAATGCAATGTGGAAGTCTAGGGGGAAGGGCTCTTAGAAGCTTAAGAGGATTAAGGGTCTCCTTCCTCGTTTACAGCTTAGAGCAACTGTGCACAGAACCAGAAACCACCTGCCTCCCACACTTTCAATGGGTTGTCCCAGAGACCGCTCCCTTATGTGAAGCTGATGCTTGCCTTGTGTTGAATGTAACACAGTCACAAGAAGGCTCTGGTGACAAGGAGCTTGCTTTTTCTTTCTGGATGTGGTATTCAAAGTGTTGAACAGCCCGTATGGCTCAACCACTGACCCTTCAGTTCAGCCGCTAAAGCAGGAGCAGCCACGAGAAACAGACCTCTCGGGCACTGAACTAGGAAGGAAGGGGTGATTTATTCCTCTGGGAACAAGGTGGCATGGCGTCCTAATAGCTGAGCTCATCTAACAAAGAGATGCCCTGCCTTTATATAGGCTTACAGCTCTAGAAATTACACATGGAAGGGTCTTGGGTTTACAGCTTTAGAAATTACATGTGAAAGGGTCTTGGTTCATGGAGTAGCCATGGGGAGTATGTATGTGGCTTATGTGGGAGTTTGATCTTGTTCCAATGCCTTCTGGAAAGATTCCTCTATATGATGCCTTCAGTCTATGGGAGAGATTGTGGTAATCAGTAAGAGTCTTATTTTTACCCTGGCCGGCGGTGCCCACCAGTCCCCCTTCTGGCTAACTTCTAGCTTCCCCTTATGAGATGCAATGCAGAAGGCTCAAGAGGATTAAGAGTCTCCTCCTCACTGCCAGCAGTCAGTCTGGGTGACCCTGCTGTGCCAAGTTCTACCCCTTCTGTTTCTGCATGATGTTGAGGTCTGGAGGGGCCAGGAGATCCAACATGCAGCCATGTACCCACCAGTGTATCTGAACCTATGTATGCCAGCATCGCAGGCCCTCATTCTCACGGAGCACATGGAAAGTAAATGCAGCCACTGAATCCGAGTGAAGAACATCAGCTATCAACCTTCTCTCCTTACCATGAGCAGTGCCCCCTGAGTAGCTGGGATTACAGGGTCCTGCCACCACGCCCAGCTAATTTTTGTATTTTTAGTGGGGATGGGGTTTTGCCATGTTGCCCACTCTGGCCTTGAACTGTTGACCTCTTGATCTGCTGGCCATGGCCTCCCAAAGTGCTGGGATTACAGGCATAAGCCTCCATGCCACGCTGGCAGGAGGCTTTTTAAATGCTAGGGTGTGTTAAGGGGAAAGTACTGAAGAATGCTAGCTGAGGGGAGGGAGGTTTGGTCAACGAGCACATTGACCAGATTGTAAACTGGTACTTATCAATATTAGGGTTCTACCCAACCACTGAGATTGGGACACACAGGCTCTGTCCTAATTTACAACTACATTTCAAAGGGATGGCTCCCAGGTCCTTGGGAAAAACATTCTTATGTTATGGAAGATACATTTCAAAGAGACAAAGAAGAGATTTCTAATTGTCAGTTGTCTAAAGTAAATGCTTTGGGAAAAGGGGTTCAGGGAACTATACTCAGGTTTTTCCCTAGAACAAATTATAAATTCTTTGGGTAGCATTGGATTTTATTAGGCAGAAACTTAAGGGGGCTGAGGTGATGATCCTAAGGATGTGCCCATGAGTTGTTAGAGATGATGGTAGTGTTTGTTCTAGTCTCTTAGTGTTGGAGGTGGATGAAATGACTTGTGCTGAGAGTCTATAGTTTTCCTTTTTATTTATATTTTCCTTTTTATTATTTATTATTAACTATAATAATAACTATACTTATTTTGCCTTGCACCCTCTCTAAGAGTCTGCAGTTCTTTTTTTGTTTCGTTTTGTTTTGTTTTGAGATGGAGTTTCACTTTGTTGCCCAGGCTGGAGTGCAGTGGCACGATCTCAGCTCACTGCAACCTCCAACTCCCAGGTTCAAGTGATTCTCCTGCCTCTGCCTCCTGAGTAGCTGGGATTATAGGTGTGTGCCACCATGACTGGCTATTTTTTGTATTTTTTTTAGTAGAGACGGGTTTCACCATGTTGGCCAGGTTGGTCACAAATTCCTGACCTCAGATGATCTGCCCGCCTTGGTCTCCCAAAATGCTAGGATTACAGGCATGAGCCACCACAGGCCACCCACAGTCTGCAGTTCCTATAGGCCAAGACTGAGGCTTAATTCAAAAAGGGGCTTAGAGGAGCCCAATTAAAGTTTGGTTAGAACCTTTATCACTACAAAGCCACAGCAATCAAGACAGTGTCATACCAGCATAAGGACAGATATGCAGATCAAGGAAATAAGGAAAATGGAGAGTCCAGGAAGTGTAAGAATTAAAGAAAGAGGAAATAAACAGGAAAGGTGGCTTGCTAGTTAAGACAGGTTTATCTTAGAGAAAACAAACCTGAGAGGAGCATTTGGCCAACTTAGGTAAGAGGCACACTTTTTTACAGACTAAGGGTTTTTAAGGATTTAGGGTGGGAGAGTTTATTAGAGGCTTGGAATGCTTTTCTCTCTCTCTCTCTCTCTCTCTCTCTCTCTCTCTCTCTGTGTGTGTGTGTGTGTGTATGTGTGTGTGTGCTTATTTGGGAAAGAGTGTTGTCTGTTTTTATACATTTTTTTGCAATTGCAGGTATACCCACCCGCCCTGAGTTTGCTTTTAGCTTTTTTATTTCAGTGCACCTGAAGGGAAAGGAATGTGCTTATTAAGGCCCACTGTTTTACTGAGGCCCATTGTATGAGCGTGAAGTTTGGCAGTTACCCAAGAGATGTTTTCCCCACAGTTTTTTGTGCCTGCACTGTTTTCTTTTTTTCTTTTTTCTTTTTAAAGATGGGGTTTCACTATGATGGCCAGGCTGATTTTGAACTCCTGACCTCAGGTGATCCAACCACCTCAGCCTCTCAAAATGCTAGGATTACAGGCGTGAGCCACTGCGCCCGGCTTCCAAGCTGTTTTATTTGTGTTTTACCGTCTGTTTTTCTTGACTGCTTGTAGTTAGAAAAGAAGTGATTTCCTTGAAATGTATGAGGCTAGAAAGGGAGCTGGAACTTGAAGTGGCGGTGTTTGTCCGAGACGACGAAGGAAACCCTACCTTTGTGGTCAGTTGATTTTGACATTCAGCAAATATTTACTGAGCCCTTATCACCAACCAAGCATGGTACTGAGTACTGGAATTATCGAGATAGTTTATATAAGGTTTCTGTCTGAAACATACTGTTTTGTGAGAGAATATTTTGTGTTAAGAGAAACCCAGCAAAACGTCAAGCAGTCATTGATCTACCTTCAGTTTTTCCACTTTTAAAGTAAGAGAGTTCAACCAAATCATTATTCTCAAACTTCCGAATTCATAAGAATCAACCAGAGAACCTCTGAAAATGCATATTCCTAGGATTCTACCCTGGAAGGTATGATCTCATAGGTCTGGGGCCCTAGGATCGGCCTTTTCAGTGAGGCATATCACTTGATTCTGATGCAGGAGGTCCAGAGACCACACGTAAAAAATAATGGCCTAAAATATCTTTGGTTTCTAATATTTTGTGATGATTGTTTGTGAATGAAGCCACAGGCAATAGTTACAAAACTTTAAAAATCTCTGGATATACTGGCATATGTATGCTCAAAATATAAGTACTAAAATGATCATTGTACCACTGTTTCTATTGCGGAAAAAAAGGAGAGAGAAGGAAAGAGAGAACTGTCTATAACTAGCTAAATAACTAGCTAAATACATTATGATGATCATTATAAAGAACTCCTACACAGCTCTTAAAAAGAATGAGGTAGACAGGTGTGGGTGGCTGAGTTTTCCATTGCCCTAGGTCATGGGGTCACTGTTGGCACTGGGCCTGCAGCGATCATGGTGAACTTACTTTAGATTGTGCAGGACCACTGGGTTCATGTTCTTGTCCCTATGGGATTTGTCATGGGATGTTATTTAGACAGAAAGAGTGATGAAAAGCTAACTGCCTTCTGGAACAAGACTATTTATTTAAAAGGGAATGTGACCCATTGACGAAGTTACCTGGAAGTGAAGACTGGTGAATTATATAATGTTCACATTTTAAAATTCTGAGAGAAATAAAAACATGTTATTATAAAAAAAAAAAAAAAGAATGAGGTCGTTTTCTATGGACTGTTATCAAAAAGAGCTCCAAGTATACCTTTAAGAGTAAAAACAATATGCAAACCCTAAGTGTCACAGATTATAGTTTCCAAGGACAGCCGTAGCAGTGTCTACTCTTCTGCAACTTTGTTTCCCCCAAATTAGGAGTAAAGTCTGCTTCCCCCCTTGCATCTGGGCTGGCCAGTGACTTGCTTAGCCAATGGAACATGGCAGCAGTGATGTTATAGGGCTTCCTTGAAGCTTCTGGCTCACTCCACTGAGATGCTTGCTCTGAGGATGCCCCATCTCCAAACCCAGTCACCAGG